GGTGCAGCACAGCTGTGATGGGAGGGCTGCAGCTTTTCTGGGAACAGTGAACAGGCTCTATGTTGGAGCAGAGGCAGGAACCCTCGGAGGCTGGGCCAGGAGTTGGTCTTGTAGTCAAACTGCTTGATCTAGTTAGTGTCTGTATTTCTTCTAAGATATTCTGTGTAGAGAATGGTTGAATGGGGCAAGAGATAAAGCAGGGAATTCCATGTCTGTTGGTAGTGCCTTGGAGTTACAGAAGAGAGGGAACAGGATCTAGTTTTCAATAAATTTTAAAAGTGAAATTGCAAAGTTTGAGCCTATATCCACATTATTGGTAAGAGGTATTATTCACTAGGATGGAACACTGAAAGATGGACCAAACTGGGGAAGAAGGAATGAATTTGGTTTCACCTATTTGTACGTTCTCACTCATTACAAAATTTGAGGTGCTTGATCAATGTTGTAGAAACTCGGCCTTTTTGAGTAACTTGCTGAAAACCTTCATTTTTTAGGAGAAAGTGTTAATTGAAGCTTATAAGAAATGCCTCGCTGTGTTGATGCAATGTCACGGTGGTTTTACTGATGGTGAACAGCCAATCACACTAAGTATTTGTGGACACTCAGTGGAAACTATCAGATATTGTGTTTCTCAGGAAAAAGTTAGCATTCACCTCCCAGTTTCTCGCTTGCTCGCAGGTAAAGCACTTCCCATAACAACCTGACAATTGTCTTAACTCACTGTTTGTGATGGTTAATATGTATAAATACCTACTGTTTGCCAGGCATTATTCATTGAGCTTAGTGCTAAGCTTAAGAGGCTGGGGACTGGAGGGTTAACAACCTAAGTTTGCAGACCAAAACAAGAGAAAAAGAAGGGCCGCAAGGAAAGCCAACATTTTGGCCCTAGCCCTCCAAGGTCAATTAAGACTCAGGACATAGGAGAACTTGTACTATAATGTCATGTAACTCAGTAGTGTCCCAAATTTTCTGATCAAGGAGATTATGGGGCCAAAGAGGAAAGTGATCGATGATGTAGAGTGTGCCTAAGGA